ATGTAAAAAAACAAAAAACAACAAACCATCAACATCAACGACAACCAAAACAACAAGGAAATCCTCCTATCTCATGATAGAAGGAAAAAAGGTCAGTCTTACTGATTTAAAATATTAACCAAGTGATTCCTGAATGTGACAAACAACAACAACAAAACAAACAAACAAAAAAAAAAACCCCTCAGTAATGGGACTACAATTTAGCGTTATCTAGACTACTACCATAGTAAATACTTACTCCCTAACAGCTGCGCCTTTATCTTGTTAGGAAGGATGTGATGTCAGACTAATGCAGTGTGTGGGATGTCCAGCACTTGAGCAATAGAATTCCTGGTGAAACACAGACTTTTTTCAGAATTTTGTACCTAATTCTTTTTACATCCCCACACTCACAAACCTGGCATGTGCAATGAGTGCATTGGACTCACTACCATCTTAGAACAGAGTAGGAATGGTAAGTCTGCTTGTTGCTCAGGTGCAATTCAAGTGGTCCATATTCCTCAGGTCTGATATACAATGTATCTGCATGTGTCCTACAGCTGCTTTCCTGCTAACTGAAGAAAGTATGCAGCTTCAGATCAAATAGAAAATAAATTATATCTGTTAGGATTTCCTACAGAACACTTAATTTAAATATATGGTGACAAAAATCCTGTTTTATACAGGATATCCAACAGCCATGCTTCCAGCTGTGAAGTCTTTGAGAGTGTTTCAAACTCCAGAGGTGAAAGAGATGAGATATATGGGCTTGTGCCTTAAGATAACATGGGCTGTAGCACCTCTTGAAAAGCTACAGCTGCTATAAAGCACAGGACTCAAGGGTGGGTTTTTCTTTCTTTCTTTTCTTTTTTTTTTTTTTCTTTTTTTTTTTTGTATTTTTGGCAGATAATTAAACATGAATAAAGATTTCCTTTGGAAGGAAATGTACGTGAGGCAGTTTCACAGCATACTAAAAAAGGCTCTGAAGAGAAACTTTCATAATGCATCAGATATTCAGTGTGCATAAAAACAAAATCAGATTTTTATCTATAGACAGCAAGTGATCAGAGTGATCCAGAAGCAGGAACCTAAAATGAAAGTGTACAAATGTATTTTTCTTCAGGATAAATGCCTGCATCTGGCCACAAAGCCCTTTGACCTTAGACACGTCAGCTACCTGCTTGGCATAAATGCATTCTCCAGCAGTTGCTGATAGTTCACAGGTTACCGGCCTTGTTAGGCAGGTTAGTAAATCTAGCATCCAACAGGTTCCTAAAAATTCAGGAAGATATTTCCTAGGTATTTGTTGTTGGGTTCTGTCTGATGGAGGTCTTGTCTTCCCATCTTTAAGAAGTTACTGATACTCAGGTAGATTTAAAGTAAAGGTGAGTAGCTAGGAGAAACAACCAAAAGAAGAATGCAAAACCCCCGTGTCTTTCAAGGAAAGACATGGAACAACAGTGTTTTCTGTTTCTAACCTTGAAATTAGCATTTGCAATCAAGGACTTGGAAATGCAGGACCGAGCTGTGAGACCTTAAATGCAAATTCTATCTCCTATGTCTTGCTTATCCTTGGAGAATGTATTTTCCATTTCTTCTTGTGTATCTGTTCCAAACATTATTTTTAAAGCTCTATCTTTTGTTCTACTGTTCTCTCTCTGCCACTGATATTTTCACCCCATGGTACTTATTTTTTGAGGACTGTGAATAATCTGCTGCTTCCTAAATAAGTGCATATGTCTCAAAACCATTGCTTCTGTCACACAGACAAATATCTTCCTTCCTTAGTGGCATTTATTTATATTTTGAGGCTTTCCAGTATGTACTGAATTGTATAACTCCTTACAGCACTGTTTTCTGCTTGTCCTTCTTGGCAGTGGTACTTCCTGGAGAGAAGATTCTACACAGTGGGCACTGTTCTACGCAAAGAACCCATTAAGTATAGTAGGTTACACTTGTAACATTGTTGTCTTTTAGTTTCCTTTTGATTGTATTCCTACTTCCTGTCTTTCCTTTTTTCCTTTTTTTCACTTCTATTTTGCCTTTATTTCTTTCCTGCATCATCGTCCTATTTCCTCTTAACATCTTTAAGGCATTGAAAAGGACAAATACTACCTATTCTTATCTCCCTGCCCTCTTTTCTGATTTAACAAAGCTTCTAGCTTTCCCTGTCTCTATCCTTTGTTTTCCTTTCCTTCCCATCCCCCTCCAAAAAATTCACTACTCCTCTGTAAAAGAATTGGTCAAGCTGCATCAAGGCATGGGTTCATCATGATTTGACAGAATCTTCTGAGTTCTCAAGATGTACCTGTGTGGTGATTACTGGGCCTGTATCTCTGGCTATAAATGATATAGATGGACAAGAAAAATGAAGAGCAATAAGTATTTCCTTTTAATTTCTGACCGAATTATGATGGTAATTTTAGCAGTGTGCTGATACATTTTCATCCATGCACTCGCTAATGACTGAATTGTAAATTTTGCTTTTGGGCCACCATTTTCCTGAGTCAAGACAATAGGACTTCAGGCCTTTTCTAAGGCTGCTTCTGTCTCCTGCGTGCCGATTCTCTGATCAGTCCATGTGTGTCACTTTGGCAGTGTTCCCAGTCACCATCAGCACGACTACATTACTGGATCACGTCTTGGATAGCACAAAGCTTTGACAAGTTCAGTGTGTTTAGTTTTATTTCCCTGCTGTACTTCACTGGCATTATTATTATTTTAATAGAATAATACTGGAATAGAGTGGTCAGTAAGTATAAATATAAATGTCTGATAATCCTTGCTTAGAATTACTGCATGGATCAAAATATGGGTATTTATGTATTTGCAGTTGGTGTCTCTGAGTGGCATTGAGCTTTAAGTATGCATTCAAAAAGAAACCAATCTGGAGTGGTCTGAACTGTTAAAACTGATGTAAGTGTTCACTTGAATATCATGCATTTCCAGTGAGTTCTCGCTGCTGCAGTGGGCTGTACGATTCCCTTTACAGCAGCACTGTCATTTCTGCTACATTCCTAAAATGGAACCAACTGCCAGCGTAATCCATGAGCCTTCCTGCTCCTTGCCCTGAAAAATGCTGCCAAAGCTAAAAAGGGAAAATGCTTCCAGCAGGGACTCCAGAATTACTTATGAGATGAGAATTTAGACTGTGGGCTGTTAATCCTCTGTTGCAGCCTAAAGCATGGGAACGCAAAGAATGTAAGCACGGCGATAGGATGGTGGTTTTCCTTTGACAATGATATCTCAAGAAATAATCTGAATTCAATACAGAGTAACGCAGAGTAGTAGTATTAATCTTACTGAGTAGCATAGTTATGAGTCATGTCAGCTCTCAAGTGCAGAGATTTGAGTGGTAACGTAGTTGTACCGTGAGAGAAGCTGGTTGAAGCTGGCTGGGGGGAAAAGGGGGGATAATCTTTATTCATGGTGATTGTTTTGGGGGTAATTAGCACTGGGGTTATGTTAGTGAAGTGTATGTTCTGTTTGCAGCTAGCCTTGATTAATGGCAGAGGGGTTTCTATAATTTTTGCTCAATCCTAAATCTTGTGTTGGAAGAACCTTTATTTTGCTTTGTTTTAGCTCAATATTTAATAATTACTGTTTTAATACTGAATTTGTCCCTCCGTAACTCCCTTAGTTTTTGTTTTTGCAGGAGTAACTCTCTGATAATATGCAGTATGCTTCAGAATCACCTTCTCATCTATGATTTCCTTTGTAATTTGTTGATGGTAGCAGAATTTTAAAGCCTAGCTACCCAGTACAGACACACAATCCTGAACAAAAACACGAAGCCTTGCTGCAGCGTTTCTAAAGAGATGACCTTTGAAATACTAATCTGCATTTGACACTTCCTTCCTCGCTGGCACAGTGATAAATCCTCCCTCTTTTGCTGTATTAGGAAAGAGAGTCAAACTGCAGAATTTTAGGGAAAGGACTTAAAGCATTTTTGAATACAGTGTTTGGGCATTGGCCACATGGGCGGCTTACGTGCTCTTTTCTCATTTTATTGCACACAAGATAAAAGGCAAAGAAAGCAAAAACGAATCCAACAAGCTGCATTAATCCATTTTTGTGAAAGCAGACTGATAATTTGCCACGTGGAGGTTCTGCTGCTTTTCAGGGCCTGCCTGGTGCCTTAAAAAGCACAGAGTGCGACAGGGTTAATGGCCAGGAAGCGGCCGGTAGCAGGGCAGCCCTGCAGGCCGCGGGGTGGGGGCCGGGGTGGCCGGGCTGAGGGTGTGCATCGCTGCCATCCCTGCCATCCGCATAGTTTGGGTCGTTCTCTGCAGCATTTTTATAGTCAGGAAAAGGTGTGCACTGAATGCCAGCAGCCCTCTTTGATAATGTAATTCTAGTTGTGTATTACTCGCTGCAGAAGTCAGCCATCAGGCTTCTCCCATGTAGGATTTGGCTCACATTGTCTGAAAAAAAAAAAAAAAAAAAATCCCACTGTCAGTGTGTGGTTGCTGCAGTCGGTGTTAATGTGTTTACATTCTGGAATTGAAGGATTCTGTCTGAATTTTCAGTTTTTAATGTCCGTCTCTCCCATGCATGTGCACTTTCAGTTTATTTTGTTCCCTTTCTGTACCTTTGCTTTCACTGTGTGAAACACAGTGGAGAACACCAGAAAAGCGAATTTAGCTTTTTGTTTCTAAAGAATCATTTTTGTGACCTGGGTGAACTCGTCCTTCTTGAGGTTTAAAATAGCCAAATGCCTTCAGCAGGGACACGTTGAGACACGTTTGCTCAGGCAGGCAGTTTGTGATCGCTTTCCTCTGCTTGAAAATCTACGTATTTCATAGGGGAAGTCGCCTTTTGGGAGTTCTTTTCGAGTTTTTTTGCTGAAACGGGCCTAGCTTAGCCTGTCTTCTCTGTGCACAGGATGGCTCCTGCTTGCCAGAGCTGCACAAAGATAATCGCTCAGGAAGTGTTTCAGCCAATCCCCTGAAGCTTTACATTCAGATTTACCAAAGTAGCCAATCCTGGATTAGCTTTTATTAGGAAGACAGATCATCAAGCTGAAGTGCCAAGCCCTTTCTGTCTGAGTACTGAGAGCCTGTCCTCCATGTTTTATAAGTATTGACATAACACTGTGTTAACAATGCATCCACAGAGGTAAGCCTTACTTTTTACATTTTTTTTTCTCTAAGACCTATGAGTTGTGGGTTGAGAGTGTGATTCTCTGTGATTTGTCGTGCAAAACTCACACCACAGCACTTTATTAAGTTGAAACTGTTTAAATTTGCTTTCTTGGGTCACATGGTTAGTAGCCATTAGCCACAGCTTTATTTTGCAGACTGGCAAAACCTTGGCATACCTACTTCTTCACAGGAGGCTGGTGTTTTTAGAATTTAACAAGATCCTGGTATTCCAAAGAAGCTTTCTGTCTCTGAGCAGTTTGCCAGCACTATTGTCTGTTGTGTCACATGCCTGCTGAAGAGAAAATGGAAGCTAGGGAGCAGATGCATTTAACTGCCCTACAGGGAGTCAAGCAGGGATAATGGCAGACAGAAGAACAGGCAAGTTTACCTTTCTAAACAGTGAATGGAATAGCTAAGATAAGTTATCTCTGAAAAAATATGGGATTTAAAAAAACCTAGACATCAGCAAAAACTGCTAATGGCTGATTGTAGATATTGGGCCTAGGTGGTGGTGTGCTGTTGCATCATGTTTTTTATGCAGCTTATCTTAGCTTAAAATGATTATTGAACTCTTTTTCTTGCAGGGATAATTAATACAATGTGTTTCTCTTTCCGAGGGACACTGTATGGTTAATATTTTGTTCCTTTAAAAGGGAGTTTTTATGCTGCAGATTTTGGAAATGGGTTGCTGCTCAATAAAATGCAGCAGTACATCAGTTTGCAAATCTGATTCTTTATGGAAAATGTTTTTTAACTATTAGCTTTCTTCTTTTACATATTTTGAGTAAACTAATGTACCTTTTATCTGTGCCTTTTTGTTTTACACTGTATCAGCCACAGTTCTGTGTTGTGGAGTCCAGAGGATATAAAATCATCTGTGGTTCATGACAGTAGTACATGTTGTTCGTTCTTGTTTTTTGTCTTTTTTTTTTTTTTTTTTTTTTTTAACTTTTGGTTTAATGCTACGTAATTATTTCAAGAAATTCCTTTTTGATCAATTCCCAAATCTGCCAGCCTGTTGTATCTTCTTAACTGGAAAAATGAGATGGGTGCTTGAACAGTTGGTAAGTAAGCAGCATGCTACTCTAAACATTTTTAATAGTTTTCCAAACATTTTATTTTTACTGGGTCAGTTAGTGCAGTAGATGAGGTGATTTCAGAGGTTAGCCATGTAAAAAATCCGATTTGTTTAGC